GTCCTGGGGGAGGTAGACAGTAGTCCTAGTGGAGTTGGACAGTGGACCTACAGAGGTGGATTTATTTTTGGTATATGACTACTAATTGTTTAGTCTATTCATCTTTCAGGCGTTTCTTGGTGACAAGTACGGGAGTCGTCCAATGCCGAGCAAAATAGATGCTGGGGAATACAAGTTGATTCGGCGGACTGCAATGAAGCTTGGGTATGACGTCTCTCTGATGGACCAGTGGTTCAAGCGCGATGACAACGCTGAACCAGCAATATTTTATCTCTTACCAATCACCAAACTTCTACCCAACTATGACAGTGACCTTGAAGGGTTTGAACAGCAACGCCAAAGTGTAGGTATCTTTAAATAGTTAAATAGTTTAACTAATACCGCAATGTTTAAATATAACCAGATTGGTTACGGGTTGTGTGACATTTTATTGAAAATTACACATTTCAGTAAAGTTTCATTTATAAAGCTGGCTGAAATAGTAAAAATAGAAAACATCTCTCTGAAGTTCAATTTTATCGACTGTAATGTATCTTTCAAATATTGAAATTTCTAAAACTAAAACAAGCTTGAGCCAAATGAAGACACAGAACAGCAGTGAAAATGACTGAAAGCTTGCACTTTTTAACATTTTGTGTTCCTCACAACATCTTTGGTCATATAAAGATATCGTAAGAGAATAATATAGTTACATTGATTTTTTTGAGTTTCTTTGTACTGTGTATGGAGGCAGTCAAAATCAATATGTCAGAAAATGTTACCAGAAGTTACCATGTGTGTTACAGGACAGAGAGAAGTGGTCAAGTATAGACGCCAGGCTGACCAAAATGTTGCGGGGCGCTGCCAGCCAGGCATATGACGAAGGCCTCATCGACAAGGAAACACGCCAAAAATACTTTCACTCAGGTATAACAACACTGATATAAACAACACAGGTAAACTGTACAAGTGAACAATTTTGCGTTCAAAACTGTTCTAAATGTGACTAGATTAATCGTGGTGTAAATTTGTGCATTGGCTATAGTTCCCAAATCTATATCTTCTAAGCATCTATCATCCATATACATGTATAACTTAAACGCAAAAACTTAATGTTGACGCCGTCGCCAGAGAAGCAACACCTTAGTCTCGCTTCCGCTACTTTATGGCTGCGAGACAAACATTTCTTTGCAGAGTCATATTTGTTATGATATTAATTATTCAGTACATAAATAAATATTTGCATGTGAATACTTTCGTGCTTGTTTACTCCACGCGCAAAAACACATGCATGTTCACCTTTATAGAACACCACAGAGGTATTCAACACACAACACTGTAAGGGATTGGGTTAAGCATGACTGATCTATGATTGTTTTTGGATTTTGTTCTTCACAGCCTTAAAGCACGGTTATCACAATCAAATACAGATCATTGAAGTTTGGTTATCAAGGTAATGTCTGCTTGCTTGTTGGACAGTAGTTGTACCCAACAGTTTCTATTTATAGTAACGGAGGTGGAGATACAGTCTGGCATACTCGAACCAGAATCGGTCAAGGACAAGGTCATCTGTTACTGTCGCACCTTTTTGGACATCAACATTGAGGACAAACTTGCATGTAAGTGAAAGGATTGTTTTGTGACAGTATCTGTGGACGCAGACTTCTGTTTGTAAGTGAAATGATTGTTTTGTGACAGTATCTGTGGACGCAGACTTCTGTTTGTAAGTGAAATGATTGTTTTGTGACAGTATCTGTCGACGCAGACTTCTGTTTGTAAGTGAAATGATTGTTTTGTGACAGTATCTGTCGACGCAGACTTCTGTTTGTAAGTGAAATGATTGTTTTGTGACAGTATCTGTCGACGCAGACTTCTGTTTGTAAGTGAAATGATTGTTTTGTGACAGTATCTGTCGACGCAGACTTCTGTTTGTAAGTGAAATGATTGTTTTGTGACAGTATCTGTCGACGCAGACTTCTGTTTGTAAGTGAAATGATTGTTTTGTGACAGTATCTGTCGACGCAGACTTCTGTTTGTAAGTGAAATGATTGTTTTGTGACAGTATCTGTCGACGCAGACTTCTGTTTGTAAGTGAAATGATTGTTTTGTGACAGTATCTGTCGACGCAGACTTCTGTTTGTAAGTGAAATGATTGTTTTGTGACAGTATCTGTCGACGCAGACTTCTGTTTGTAAGTGAAATGATTGTTTTGTGACAGTATCTGTCGACGCAGACTTCTGTTTGTAAGTGAAATGATTGTTTTGTGACAGTATCTGTCGACGCAGACTTCTGTTTGTAAGTGAAATGATTGTTTTGTGACAGTATCTGTCGACGCAGACTTCTGTTTGTAAGTGAAATGATTGTTTTGTGACAGTATCTGTCGACGCAGACTTCTGTTTGTAAGTGAAATGATTGTTTTGTGACAGTATCTGTCGACGCAGACTTCTGTTTGTAAGTGAAATGATTGTTTTGTGACAGTATCTGTCGACGCAGACTTCTGTTTGTAAGTGAAATGATTGTTTTGTGACAGTATCTGTCGACGCAGACTTCTGTTTGTAAGTGAAATGATTGTTTTGTGACAGTATCTGTCGACGCAGACTTCTGTTTGTAAGTGAAATGATTGTTTTGTGACAGTATCTGTCGACGCAGACTTCTGTTTGTAAGTGAAATGATTGTTTTGTGACAGTATCTGTCGACGCAGACTTCTGTTTGTAAGTGAAATGATTGTTTTGTGACAGTATCTGTCGACGCAGACTTCTGTTTGTAAGTGAAATGATTGTTTTGTGACAGTATCTGTCGACGCAGACTTCTGTTTGTAAGTGAAATGATTGTTTTGTGACAGTATCTGTCGACGCAGACTTCTGTTTGTAAGTGAAATGATTGTTTTGTGACAGTATCTGTCGACGCAGACTTCTGTTTGTAAGTGAAATGATTGTTTTGTGACAGTATCTGTCGACGCAGACTTCTGTTTGTAAGTGAAATGATTGTTTTGTGACAGTATCTGTCGACGCAGACTTCTGTTTGTAAGTGAAATGATTGTTTTGTGACAGTATCTGTCGACGCAGACTTCTGTTTGTAAGTGAAATGATTGTTTTGTGACAGTATCTGTCGACGCAGACTTCTGTTTGTAAGTGAAATGATTGTTTTGTGACAGTATCTGTCGACGCAGACTTCTGTTTGTAAGTGAAATGATTGTTTTGTGACAGTATCTGTCGACGCAGACTTCTGTTTGTAAGTGAAATGATTGTTTTGTGACAGTATCTGTCGACGCAGACTTCTGTTTGTAAGTGAAATGATTGTTTTGTGACAGTATCTGTCGACGCAGACTTCTGTTTGTAAGTGAAATGATTGTTTTGTGACAGTATCTGTCGACGCAGACTTCTGTTTGTAAGTGAAATGATTGTTTTGTGACAGTATCTGTCGACGCAGACTTCTGTTTGTAAGTGAAATGATTGTTTTGTGACAGTATCTGTCGACGCAGACTTCTGTTTGTAAGTGAAATGATTGTTTTGTGACAGTATCTGTCGACGCAGACTTCTGTTTGTAAGTGAAATGATTGTTTTGTGACAGTATCTGTCGACGCAGACTTCTGTTTGTAAGTGAAATGATTGTTTTGTGACAGTATCTGTCGACGCAGACTTCTGTTTGTAAGTGAAATGATTGTTTTGTGACAGTATCTGTCGACGCAGACTTCTGTTTGTAAGTGAAATGATTGTTTTGTGACAGTATCTGTCGACGCAGACTTCTGTTTGTAAGTGAAATGATTGTTTTGTGACAGTATCTGTCGACGCAGACTTCTGTTTGTAAGTGAAATGATTGTTTTGTGACAGTATCTGTCGACGCAGACTTCTGTTTGTAAGTGAAATGATTGTTTTGTGACAGTATCTGTCGACGCAGACTTCTGTTTGTAAGTGAAATGATTGTTTTGTGACAGTATCTGTCGACGCAGACTTCTGTTTGTAAGTGAAATGATTGTTTTGTGACAGTATCTGTCGACGCAGACTTCTGTTTGTAAGTGAAATGATTGTTTTGTGACAGTATCTGTCGACGCAGACTTCTGTTTGTAAGTGAAATGATTGTTTTGTGACAGTATCTGTCGACGCAGACTTCTGTTTGTAAGTGAAATGATTGTTTTGTGACAGTATCTGTCGACGCAGACTTCTGTTTGTAAGTGAAATGATTGTTTTGTGACAGTATCTGTCGACGCAGACTTCTGTTTGTAAGTGAAATGATTGTTTTGTGACAGTATCTGTCGACGCAGACTTCTGTTTGTAAGTGAAATGATTGTTTTGTGACAGTATCTGTCGACGCAGACTTCTGTTTGTAAGTGAAATGATTGTTTTGTGACAGTATCTGTCGACGCAGACTTCTGTTTGTAAGTGAAATGATTGTTTTGTGACAGTATCTGTCGACGCAGACTTCTGTTTGTAAGTGAAATGATTGTTTTGTGACAGTATCTGTCGACGCAGACTTCTGTTTGTAAGTGAAATGATTGTTTTGTGACAGTATCTGTCGACGCAGACTTCTGTTTGTAAGTGAAATGATTGTTTTGTGACAGTATCTGTCGACGCAGACTTCTGTTTGTAAGTGAAATGATTGTTTTGTGACAGTATCTGTCGACGCAGACTTCTGTTTGTAAGTGAAATGATTGTTTTGTGACAGTATCTGTCGACGCAGACTTCTGTTTGTAAGTGAAATGATTGTTTTGTGACAGTATCTGTCGACGCAGACTTCTGTTTGTAAGTGAAATGATTGTTTTGTGACAGTATCTGTCGACGCAGACTTCTGTTTGTAAGTGAAATGATTGTTTTGTGACAGTATCTGTCGACGCAGACTTCTGTTTGTAAGTGAAATGATTGTTTTGTGACAGTATCTGTCGACGCAGACTTCTGTTTGTAAGTGAAATGATTGTTTTGTGACAGTATCTGTCGACGCAGACTTCTGTTTGTAAGTGAAATGATTGTTTTGTGACAGTATCTGTCGACGCAGACTTCTGTTTGTAAGTGAAATGATTGTTTTGTGACAGTATCTGTCGACGCAGACTTCTGTTTGTAAGTGAAATGATTGTTTTGTGACAGTATCTGTCGACGCAGACTTCTGTTTGTAAGTGAAATGATTGTTTTGTGACAGTATCTGTCGACGCAGACTTCTGTTTGTAAGTGAAATGATTGTTTTGTGACAGTATCTGTCGACGCAGACTTCTGTTTGTAAGTGAAATGATTGTTTTGTGACAGTATCTGTCGACGCAGACTTCTGTTTGTAAGTGAAATGATTGTTTTGTGACAGTATCTGTCGACGCAGACTTCTGTTTGTAAGTGAAATGATTGTTTTGTGACAGTATCTGTCGACGCAGACTTCTGTTTGTAAGTGAAATGATTGTTTTGTGACAGTATCTGTCGACGCAGACTTCTGTTTGTAAGTGAAATGATTGTTTTGTGACAGTATCTGTCGACGCAGACTTCTGTTTGTAAGTGAAATGATTGTTTTGTGACAGTATCTGTCGACGCAGACTTCTGTTTGTAAGTGAAATGATTGTTTTGTGACAGTATCTGTCGACGCAGACTTCTGTTTGTAAGTGAAATGATTGTTTTGTGACAGTATCTGTCGACGCAGACTTCTGTTTGTAAGTGAAATGATTGTTTTGTGACAGTATCTGTCGACGCAGACTTCTGTTTGTAAGTGAAATGATTGTTTTGTGACAGTATCTGTCGACGCAGACTTCTGTTTGTAAGTGAAATGATTGTTTTGTGACAGTATCTGTCGACGCAGACTTCTGTTTGTAAGTGAAATGATTGTTTTGTGACAGTATCTGTCGACGCAGACTTCTGTTTCACACCTATCAATGTATGACTGAAACCCCACTTCCTGGAACTTGAATACATTAGTAATTTGAATTCCCCTCGTTCATTGGTCCAAGCAGCGTTATTTTAATACTCTTAGGTAACCAGACATGCACTGGTGGTCCAATATGTATATTTTGCGGCATGTTGGTGAGTGCAGCAAAACAGACCGCCTGGTTTGATTCCCACTGTATGTTAACGTAATATTACTCAAATAAGCTTTTAAGAAATTGAAAAACAATCCTCATATTTACATTCCATTTACTAAAATTCATTTCTGGACAGTTGAAATAATTTTTATAAGGATTGAAATATTCCTACATTCACGGAAACACACTGAATTTAACAGATCAATGCTTGAAAATCTTTGACCAACATTGAAATATCCATTGATAACCATATACTCTTTGAATTACGGATCTGGACAGGTTTTGAGTCAGCAGCATTTCACTGTATATATTCTTTATTAGTAATAGATTTTTTCATTCATTAATTATATATATAAATGATATAAATGTATTTCTTATTTCTTTTCTTAGAAAGTTGAAGTCTTATGAAATAACTTTTATTCCCAATCTTTGAAATGTCAGTTTATTATTCATAAATGTAAAGTTGAAAACAGAAAGAAAACTTGATCCCTGCTGATGTGATTGTAGGGAGGTTTACGGACCTGATAGATGGCTCTGTAGATGATGAGGCTATGGAGTTGAGGGAGAGGCTCAAGTACACTCAAGTCACTCCAAAGCTTGGTCCGGAAGAAATGAAGAAGTACAGTTTATACTGGTAAGTTTGAGATAACCCAGGTGTATGCATATGATGGTTTGCGTAAGGAAAGGATATTTTTCGAGGTGACTATGTAAGGAAGATGACTGACATGGATGTATTTGTGTAAAGGAAGGGAGATAAATGAGGTACATATGCACCCCACTTCCTCAAACTCCCATTACTGAAGGCACAGTAGTCTAGTGGTAGGATGCCGGGCTCGTGAGCAAAGGGTTGCGGGTTCGAGTCATGGCATGGCACTGTGTTGTATCTTTGAGCAAGATACTTTACTCTGCCTGTTCCAGTCCTTTCAACTGTAAATGAATACGTGGTTGGGTAGTGCTAGAATTGTTGAATGCTAGCTGTAAGCGCTGAAGTGGCAGCTCCGGCTGTATGCTCCCTAGGGAGTTGAGAAATATGTTGGCTGGTTGCAAAGGCCCTCTAACCACGGATAATAATTTGTGAACCGCTTTGAGACGACCTACGAATTAGGTTGTGATAAAGCGGTATATAAGAACCTCAAATTATTTTTATTATTATTACTCAAACTTTCTTCTGTTTGTTGAAAAGTTAGGTTGGTTTCATTCATGTTCTAACCAGTATATATTGTTTATAAATTACCTCGTATTACTTATATACTCGAATACCCAATGTTCCTCAGTCTGATAATTTACCCAATGTTCCTCAGTCTGATAATTTACCCAATGTTCCTCAGTCTGATAATTTACCCCCGACTGTCTGGTCCTTAGTATTTATCCTATTTGTTTGGTG